TAAATAAATGATTGTTAAGTATGTTTATAATGTTATTTTATATAGCTAAGATATCTGAAATTACACATACTATAAAATAATACTTAAATATACACTATGCTGATCTGAGAAAACCTACAATTCAATTTATATTGTAGTCCTATAATAATATTGTTGTAGATCTATAATAATAGGTCATATTACAGACAATAAAGAGATTGATTTTCAATTATTTTCTTACATTAATCATAGCTGTCCTGTTCCTGAATAAGCCAATGCAAAATTTAATGCTTTTTGCTATACATTTGGCTGTTCGTAATTAAGATTATCATATGTATATGCATATACTTATTTCTCTTGCAAAAGAACTCTTTTTTTCTTTGCTTCCTTGAAACTTTTTCCCATTCTCTTCTGCCTATGTCATATATTACACTCTATCAATGTTCTCTCGTTCTATCGAAGCTGCTTTTCTGCCAAGTTTATAGTTTGCTCATTTAGCTAGGTTACTAACATACATGTCCAGGATCCCGACAGACGTTGACTTTGTTGTCCTTGCCAATTTATTTAGTTTCCGTAGACAGTATTATACTTTATTGGAATCAATATACCACACGAAGTTTACCCTCGGAACAAAGTAATTTATAGTATAGAATTCATAATGTAATTTAAAAAATTACCAATACTTAAATTATCTCCCGGATTACAGAATGTTGATATTGTATACTAACATATGGTATTAATATAATGATTCTAGAGATTTTATTTTTTCTATTTTAATGGAACAACAATACATTTAAGTCCACGTAAACCCACTAAATCCAAAACCCACTAAATATAAGTAGATGGAAGTTAACACACACAAGGTTCTAGGCCACCAGAGAAATGGAGCTTAATGTCCATAGTATGGTATTTCTTTTTTTTTATATATATCTAATATTTAGCTTGTCGAATACAGAATAGAAAAACATTCGTTTACTTAGAGATGCTAGTAGTGACTTTTTACGTTATTATACTATTTTCTATCAGAGAGTTAATATCATTTTAAGGCTTTGCTCTATATAGTTGATCCGGTTTTTGCAATACTCAATATATAAATATTATAAATTTCAACAGAATTTAAAATGATAGCGCAAATCAGGTTGAAATTTAATAATTTATCTGATAATTTTTATTGGCGCACTTATGGTTAGGTGCTTAAGATATTTTAGGAAAACTCTATCACAAGAAATTCTAAGTACATATGTACATATATGAAATTATTCCCTTCGTTTTATTGACAAAGAAAATGCTATAATAATTTCTTCCAATAAGTTATCTATTTTTTATTCTTTTGCATCAAAACATCCATTATTTTTGCTAATTTGAGAATTTACTTTAATAAGTTCCTTGATATGAAATTTGTTCTCTTTTTAATTCCAGTATATATTTTTAATGATGTGATATGAAATTTTACTGCTATATTTTAATATATTCTATATTTTTCTATGTGGCAACAAAGATGGAACAATAGCACTCAAGGAAGATGGACAGCTAAATTGATACCAAATATAATAACTGGGCTCAAACGGAAATCGGGAGACGCAAATTACTATCTCACTCAGATGCTGACCGGAGATGGATACTTTGTAAGTACCTGTACCGGATAAGAAAGGTGAATCTATCCGACTGTATGTATGGCGATGGAGACTGTGACGACGCAGAGCACACCTTCTCCTACTGTAATAGATGGCAGATAAATAGAGAAAAGATATTAGTACAGATTGGACTTATAAATCCCGAAAATATAGTGGAAAAGATGACATCGAACGCAGAGAGTTGGAGAACGATAGAGTCATATGCGACTTAAGTCCGTAAAACACAGAAATTATACCTAGAAAGGAGAACCAGAAATGAGAATAATAAATAGTGCAGACACCAAAAAAATGCGGTGAAAAAGTGATGGTCTGAGACGCAGATCGAAAAATCACAAGAGCGTGGCTTACTTTACACAAGTTAATTACCTAAAATTTATAAATATTTAACTGCATAGCATTTATGTGGTATAAATTCTATTCTAATTTCTAAAAGTGTGTCTTGTATTTAGATTACATTATTTTTAAAAACATTATAAGTAATCTGATTGAAAAAGTTTTTAACAAAATATATATAACATAATGAATTATCTTTCATTCAGTGTACTCAGGCAACAAAATTCAATAAAAATATTTAATTTTTTCCATAATTTAATTAACTGTATATCTGAAGTTCTTCATACAGGCAAAAATTACTGCAGATATGTTATATGTACATAATTGAATAGTAGTTTAGTGCATTAGCAGTGGTTCATTCTATGGTGCCATCTATGTTTCAAAAAAAAAATAATAAAAACTTTTGTTGCATTTTCACAAAAAATTGATACCAAACCATTTCTACTTTCACCATGCAATTTGGCCCATTATTAAAATTTTTTTGCCTCAGCTCTGCAACCTACACAGAAATCAGTATCAACTAAATGTGCCTATGTCAAACGATGTCTCCACTGTATACCAACTAATTCCTACGCCCACACATAAATGATTCTTTTATACTTCCTGATTAAGAGACACAATATCTGGTTTTAAAATTGTATATAAAGAGGTTAAATATAAATAAATAAATATGTAGACAAAAAAACACTGGAGCATAAATCCATTTACTGTTCTACACAATCTAGGCCGCTGTCAAAACGGCCTAGAGATTGTAAAAAAATGCACCAATTAAATATATTAAATTTCTTTTTAAATATGTTCATGTTTATATTATATATCAAACAATATTATTTTTATATAATAAATTTTATTGCACGGAAAGTATATTATATAAAATTAGTTAAATATTAAAGCAATGGCAACGTGAACACGAAAAAGGCCAATTACTGGATAATATTGCTAATACAACATTTCTTCAAAGAAGGAAGGGAATCAGATATTATTTTCTTTAATCAATTTTTCTTTAGGTTTTCAGTGTTGAGCTACATATTCCAGAATGTATGGTCTACATCAGGCTGTTCACACCAGATGCGATCGCGGGCCAACACAAATCACTGTGCAGATTGGAGGGCCGCAGAAACAAATACATAATTACGTTCATATGTTTTCGACAAAAATAAAAATTCGGTTATAATGTTTAATTTGGTTTTATTAATTTATCAATTTAAATTCATTTAGTTGGTATACCATAAAAATAAAATAATGTGGTTTTAGAAGTACACCAAAACAAAATTTGCGTAATTATCGCGGGCCGTGCATACATTAGCTGCGGGCCGTTCTTTGAACAGCCCTGGTCTACATTGAAGAACTATTCATAGGTAGTTCATTTTACAAGTACCAATATATATATACAGAACAGTACCTTGAACGATAAAGAGCAACACTGAACGATCTTTCGAAGTTTTTAAAATGAAAACTTTTTGATCGTATTCACTTTAATTATTGTTCGCTCTATTAGCTATATCACCAAAAACAATTTTAGCAGGTAAAATACATTTAAAAAGAAATCATCATCAACCTTTTTAAAAGTGATATTACTTATAATATCATATAATATTGATATTACTCGATAAAGATTGACATGTGGTTATGATGATGAATTAAATAAGTGACTAAGCAAGATAGTATATTATTGCAGAGGGGATAATATATTTCAAAGAATTGCTTGTGAATACCTAGAATAAAAACAACTTGCAAATTAAATAAATTAATTATCATTCAACCTAGGTGATTGTGGTTGCGCTAGGAAAGTTACGTTTGACATAATCTGCCCTAATATGATGGATATGTTGATCGGACATATATCAATAACTCGAATAAGCAATAAACGCATTAAAAAAAACATCCTTTGTTGACGTATGGGTATAAGTGCCGCTCGATATCCCACAAGACAATGCTTTTACAAAAAAATTTAGACTCTTTAAAAGGTCTCAAAATATTATAACGTGCACAGTCCATTACATTACCTTAGTACAATTTTATAGAAGTCTTGCCCATATCACTTTTACATATATACATATTTTTCTTTATCAGCTGTCTAGAGTTCAGTATAGAGTTAGAAAATTCCATAATTTACCTTTAGTAAACCTTTTCATTATTCTTATTACTTCCTGTGCTAAAAAAGTATCCTTGACTCTGCCCGTATATATACCGGTGAACTCAAGATCCTCACAATCAACAACAAAAAATCTTGTGTCTTATACTAGACTTAAGAGTCTTATACTAGCATGCTTATATGCTCCAGTATAACTATTTCGTGGTATATTGCTGTTAATTTAAAGTTATCTCTATCTAATACATGTGCACATAATATTTACAACCTCTACATATCCTTGGGATATTAGAAATAGACTAAATTTCAGAGTTGAAATACTTTAAGAATCACATAAGCACACTGAAAACAAATATGTTTATTTATAAACTTGGAGCAATTCATATATGTATATATGTGTACCTTTCTCTTCTTTTTGACTACATACGAAAAATTTTCCATTCATATCTGTAATGGAAAAAAAAATTTTTTCTGATATATGTATGTATGTTTTAAATTGATCAATCCGCTTTAAGAGTACGAGAATTTCGACTTCCAAACTCTATATTTGTATAGAGTATATATGTATACTCTAATTTAACATATAAATGTATTTACTTCATTCTGGATAATAATGACAAAAATGATGAGTCCTGAAAAAGTTAATATTAAGAGATTATTTTAAAAATCTACGGCTAAATTAAGATTTTTAAGATCCAACTTGTAAGGCTCAATCAGTATGGAATAAGATATTGATAAAATCTTCCATAATGAAAGACTTTGATTAAGACACTCGTATTACAAGTGATCATTTATTTTCTCCAATTTTATTTTTTGTATAATAAATTTTAGTATTTCATATTGCTCTAACTTTACATAAATATGCAACCAGGCTTATATGCCCAACACCACTGTAATAACATATGCAATAAGATTTAATGTACAATATAAATATGTACTTATAGTTAAGTTTAAAACACATATTTATTATTTTATATTTATATTTTAAACATCAATCAATAATATTTTAGAACAGATCTTTTCTAAAACTCGCACTTGCCAGATTGGTTTTTTAAAATATTATCGCATTCGTTTATTATTTTTATTTTTTCACTAGCGTCATCTATGACTTGGCGCACCTCTGACTCTAAACTTGTCAATTTATGCCTTGTAAGTAGCAAATTAATCAGCATAAACTCCATTGATCTTTCACCACCTTCAGCAGTGGCAACTTTCAGGTCGCTTACAAGTTTTAGAAAATCTTTTAAGATATCTAATTTTATATCTGTTTCATTATCGCCAGCTGCCACAATTATTGTGATAGCATCCGCTGTGGTACCCGTTCGAATGATAGCCCCTCTTAATAACTTATTTAGGTAACGTGTGGTAAGTTTAACTTTAGCAGCTATTGTATCGCTGCGTCCAGTCAAGTGCGAAATTTCTTTATTGAAACCTTGTACGGCTGTTCTTGTCTCTTGCAGTTTCATGTCGAGTGTTTCATCCAGTTGCTGTTTTGCAGAAAGGAGATCTGCACTATAACCTGATGTTGTAACTTGAAATTGTGTTGTCTCTGCATTCTCGGCCTGGAAATTTTGTGCCTCTACATTCTCCGTAATTTGTGTTTGATTTAAGTCCACTTGCTCTTCCGAAGACTCGTTGCCATCTTTTATATGAAAATTAATAGCAAAATGGAATAAAGTATTACCAAGACAAAACTGTAATATATTACAACATTATTTTCATTAAAGTTATTCATTTCAAAGTAATCTTTTTACTTGAGTATAGCATGTTATAAATAAAATGATTAACAGCGATGCCCGCAATCCCATTATATTCTTTGCTTTTCTAAAATTGAACTAAATTGTTCGATTCTCCAATAAAAAATTGAAGTGACATTTTTGTATTTATAAAAATTTATCAGTAATCAGAAAATATGGCGGAAAGGTTGAAAGGGTCAAAAGAGATTAAACTGCTAAGTATTCAGATGTGCTTCTTTAATTGTTATTATATATATACTTATATATACATTTGCAGAAACACTTACAGCTATAGAATAAATGAGGGAACAGAGAAAAGAAAACAAAATAGTTTTTAAATAAATAAGCACTTCGGACTTAATTTTTCTTTGAGTTATTCTATTATCAGAGGGTACACGATAAAATCCATGAATTTTCGAATCTAAATTTTATTCAGAACTAATATTTCTCAACTTAAGTCTTCTTTTAGTTCATTATGATTACACTTTGTTAACTACTCTGGAATTATTTGATTTCTTTTAAATCAAGGTTTTTTTAAGATCCTATTGCCTTAAAAGAGAAATCTCTTTTCTTTAAAATTCATTTGTTGTTTTGTCACGTCTCAATGTCTAGACTTGTATTTACCTATATAACATAAAGAAGTGTTTGCGCTTGTTATGTAACATAATAGGTAACACAATACCAAGGAGGAAAAAATATTAAACTAACAAATTAATTCTCCAATAAATTATATTCATAAATTGCTTGATTATTTACAAATTTGTGAATGACGAAATTTGCTCTATTAAACATATGTCTTGAGGTCCTCTGCTCCACAACGAGACAAAGGAATTAAGAAGAAGAATATACAAGAAGGGAATAGAAATGATATCTTCATTGTTGTTCTTATTTCGGCGAAAAAGCATTCAAAATTCTTCTTCTTGTTTAAGTGCACTAAGTTGTAAGTTCATATTCTGCAAAACCGGATGTACAATCTTGGCAGTATTTCAGAAACTTTGAGTGATAACTTAGTATTAAGGACGAAACCTATATAATGCTAAAATACTATTATTTCATACTGGACATCAGCTGGACATTTAAGCTGTCTTGTAATTTCCAACAAACATCAAAATGGATATAGTAAATTACATTTGTTATATAAGAAATCGATAGAAACAGTAAATTGAATTTTTTTTTTACGTTCTTTTTAATTGTTTATGTAAATGACTAGGTACCAGGTCAGTAACTGATGATTCATTGAAGGGTATATCCTCAGCCCAGAATAAAAAAAAAGCGGAAATAAGTACTATATATAAACTGTAATTAAAATACATAAAAACCAAATTTTATTGTAAAATATATTGTAGATAGATTCAAGGTCATGTCCTTGAAAAAAAAGAGTATTTTTTTAAGCATATAGTATATGTATACGATAAAAAAATTTTATACGCATTTAAAAACAACTAAGCTGTATACAAAACATATATATATATATATTTATAAAATATTACAGCTGCAAGGGGAGTTCTTATTTGGCAATATACACAGTTCACAACAAAACATAAAGGACGAAAAACACGCGCATGCTACTTCCTCTCTTAAGCGCCATGGTTACTATGACGTAAAGAGGGTTGGTTATACATTTAAGTGGTGCCCGTATTAGTGCCAGCATTTTGAAGGAATTGATAGCATATAAATATTTTCCCAGTATTTTGAGTCCTGGTTTTCATTTATTGTATAATAGTAAATGAAAAAAAACAGTTATATTTTATTTGTAAAGAGTATAATAAAATAAATAATAATAGCATAAAATCAGTGTTCTAATATCCTTATGGTGTGAAAATTTTATTGTTCTTAAATGGACACCCCATTAACTTCCGCCCGGTTTCTGAAATACTTGGCGGCATATAATTTGAAAACGCTTTTGACATTGCTTTACATAAGCAATCTATGTATGTATGTGTTAATATACTCACTTCATAGGATATGTGCATGCGCAATATCAGCTACCCCCATAAGATTTATAAATATATGTATGTATATTTATCTGCCCCTGCAAATTGTTTACAAATGAATATACGGAAAAACGTTTTCAACGTTACACACTTACATACATCTATGGTCTATTTGCAGAAATCAAACCACCCAAATCAACGGTTATTGTACTTAGTTTCCCAGGGCTCAGCATAAGTATATATGTAATATTTATATGCGTTTGTATGTACAGCTCGGAAAAGGTATTATTATGCTATTGCGTTTCAGAATTTCGTAACGTTCATCTTTAAATTTGCTAAAATTTTAAAGCGTACTCAAAAAAAATCGTTATTTTTGCAATTGTTCAAACTTTAATACCATACATAATGATAGGTTTGCTAGTTTAATTATATACTATTTATTTACTTTCTATAATTTTTTAGTAAAATTTGCATATTTAAAAAGTAGGTTTATATCATATAGTTAACAATTATTCGACCTTGTCTTTGGCTGCTCCCAGGCAACTTCAAACACTACTAGAATCATTAGACCTTAGTCCCGTAGAACATCTGTGGGTTTATTTGGAAAACAAGATTCACCAGCACACGATTTCCAGCAAGCATACGATAAAAAAATGTAATCAAGGAAGAAAGGCTAAAAATAAACGCATAAAATACTACAAAGGTGCTTGAGTCCATGTAAAGACGCCTAAAAGAGGTTATTAAACGTAGACGTATACCCACAGGCTATTAAATTGTAGATTTCTGTTAATTTGAAATGATTTAATTTAATTATTAAGAACTGACCGCAGACTTTTGTTTTGCATATAATTGTGTTTAACTTTTTTTTTTTTAAATAACTGTTAATTTTTTATGTTTGAATTTTATTGTTGTTTCTTTGCTTAAAATATGTATATCAGAAAACAAAAATCAATTGGAGTAAAAATTAAAAACGTTTATGCGAAATTTAAGAAACATTTTTATGGGTGACCGCAGACTTTTTCTGCTGTGTGTATATTTAATGTGTAAAATGAAAAATAGTTTTTGATATATATGAAAATACTATAACTTTAATATTTTGTGGAATTATTCTTAAAATGAAAGGCAGTAAAAATATAAATTCATTAATTTATTTCATTATTTACAAATATTGAAGTAGTCATTTATTTCTCTAACTGCAGTTTATATGTAGTTATACATATGTACATATATCTTCAACTGTATAATAAAATTTATTTTAAAACATAAAAAGTTACATTTACATTTCATACTTAAAATATACTAGAAAATATATTTATTATAATATTTTTATTTCGATCTATATCTTTTTAAATAAGTCAAAACCTCTATTTGAAAGTCTAGCTTTTCATCAATACTCATTAATCTAAGTATTGGTTTTATGGAATCGAAAAATCCTTGATCAGGATCAGATTCGATGCAATTCATATCTATCAGGTTTTGTTCCTTAATAGTTATTGTATTATCTACTTGTTTATCGGATGTTAAGACATCTGTGGAACTTTGCTCACTGTATTCACTAGCACTGTCGTTATTATTACTCATTTGAGATAGTACTTCAACTTTTGTATGTTCAGGCATTAACTCTTCTAGATCATCTGCGATAGTACTTGCTTCGCAGTTAACAAATTCATTTTCTAAATCGAAAAAGTAGCGTCGGTGTTTTCTTTGGGAAATTATCGAATCAGCTATTTCTACAATAGGTTTCGGTTCTTCATCTAAATAAACGTTTAATGTATCATCAGATTTCAGTTGAATAGAAGTTCCATCACTTGGAGAAAATAAATTATCTGAATTGTTATTAGATTTTAATAAAAAGCTAAGTTCTCTATGGTATATGTATGGTCTGGCGCGCTTTATTTGCGGAGTTGATTGTAGACGTACATGCCGGTGAAAACTATCGCGCGTATTTTTCCAACGTTTTGATAATATATATTCTGTAAAATTCATATTTGAAATAAATTGTTTATAGATATTTTTAATTTTATTTTTGTAAAGCAAGAAAGTCGCTTGTTATTCACATATTTTTAGTAGCAGTTATATATGTACATACATATATAAAAATCGTATAAATGCATTTATTTTTTGTTGAAAATAATATAATCTATGTTTCAAGTCTTTGAAAATTTTGAAAGTTTTGCAACCGTATATGATGCAAATACTTTACAATGAAAGTATTTTTGTATATTTTTGTATTTTGTTTGATTTAATTTAAAAAATTACTGAAATATTAACCGCTTTTAGCTGTCAAAATTTTTTTAATTTTTTATCGGTCGACTTTGAGTGTTTGCCGAAATTATAAAATAATTTTTGCGCTTCGATTACATTGATGAAGTATACGGGGAATCCGCGTCATTATATGCAACAGTGAAAAAGTAAGCACAATGAGATTCTGTACTGTGATATGCAGCAGTAGAAAACAGCAGATAACTTTAAAAATAACCATAGTAGTTCATGATGACTGTACTACTGGAAAGTAGTATTATTGGAAATTCGCAATTTAGCAGTGGATTTTTGTAAAGTATGTACTATTTAGAGCACGTTTTATATACACTGCAATATGTCAATATAGCTTGGTTCTTGAGATATAGGAACTTCAAGTTGAAAATATTTATTTAAGACATTACTTATGTAATCATTCTTTATCATTTTATGTCAATATTATAATTTTAGATCCTCCTTAATGATAGGCACAATGA